AGACAGACAGACAGACAGACACACACACACACACACACACACACACACACACACACACACGGGGGTGGGTGAGGAACACTAGTGCCATGGGTACATGTGCGGAGGTCAGAAAAAGACAAACTTGGATGTTGCTTCTCCACTTCCACAATCTGAGGTTACATTTGATCAGTTGCTGTGTGCCAGGCTAGCTGGTCTATGAGCTTGCTGAGTCCCTCATGTCTCTACCTTTCATTTTTCCACAGTCACTGAGACCGCAAATGCAAGTGCTTGCACCTGTCTTTTACGTAGGTTCTGAGACTCTGAACTCGCTTGCTGGAGCTTGCACAGCAAATGCTTTATTCACTGAGGCTGATCCCCAGCTCTACAGATTGTATCTTTTTTATAACGGGACATGCAATTATGTCCATGTTTATGTCTCCTGTTAGCTCAAACAAGGCAAACATTTCTCTTCTTTCCTTTTCTCTTTCTTGTTTTAGAAAGTGCTCCATTTCCCCAGTCTTCAGGAAGGATACAGTCTACAATGTTCCAGAAATGCTGTCTACCGACTATGTATTTGTTGGTCTGAGGTTTGCAACAACTATTTTGTTACATGCATTTACAATGTATTTTGATGGCCAATCCTGTTTCCAACCATAAATGCTTTACTGAAGTCCAAACATCCTTTTTGAGGAGATGCCACCAGCTGCAAGCTGGCCTGGGACTCTGCAGTCAATTCCAGGCTATATAAAGGAATTTTGTACGATATGAAGGAATACTTAGAATTTTGTATGCCGTGTTCTGTTAAGGCAGATGTCTAGCCCCACAGTCAGAGCTGCTGAAACTGCAGTTAGAAAGTAGGATCTGAAAATGCACATTCTCTTATTATATAAAGTTTAAAATTCATTCATTTATGTGTGCCTATGCAACTATGTGTGCACATCAGTGTGTTCGTGTGTGCGTGCGCACATGCTTGCGCGCATGTGCACATGCCACAGCATGGATGTGGAGGTTGGAGTACAACTTGAAAGAGTCAGTTATTTCCTTTTATTATATAGGTCCCGGGCATTAAACATAGCTCATCAGGCTCAGTGACCAAACCTTTACCCGCTGAGGCATCTTGTAGATCCCCTAATCATGCACACTTCTAACAAATTGCTAGGTGATGCTTGTTGAAAAACTATATTTTAAAACTGCTACTAGTCTAGAATATTTTAATCACATTGTAGTTTGATAACTGACCTAAGTATTTGTTTCATTTTCTCTATTCTGTTTTGTTTCTCCTTTTCTGCTTCTGTCTTTGTGTTTTTCCTACTTAAAAACCTGCTTTTTCTTGTTTATTTATGTGGTAGTTTGAATATAATTTCCCCCCATAATCTCATAGGGAGTGGCACTATTTGTTGGAGTGGGTATGGCCTTGTTGGAGGAGGTGTGTCATTGTGGGAGTGGGATTTGAGGTTTCTTATGCTCAGGATACTGCCCAGTGTCTTGGTCAAATTCCTGCTGCCTACAAGATGTAAGACTCTCAGCTATTCCTCCAGCACCATGTTTGCCTGTGTGCTGCTATGTTCCTTGCCTTGATGATAATGGACTAGACCTCTGAAATTATAAGCTACTACTTCAATTAAATGTTTTACTTTATAGGAGTTGCTGTGATCATGGTGTCTCTTCACAGCAATAAAAACCCTAAGACTATTTGTTTTTGGGACAAGATCTCTGCTGTGGAATAGTCCTTTCGTACACTGTGAAGGTTTGTCACTTGGACTGGTTTAATGAAAAAGTCAATATATATAGCCATGTTAGGTATGTTTTCAAAGTCATATATAGATATATTTAGATAGGCAGATGGTTTTCAAACACTTCAAAGACCTATAGATTATGACATTTAAAACATTTAATAACCTAAGGCTTTTCATGATAGTGAGACACGTCTGCTCCTGGCAACACCAATTTACTTCAGAGAAGAGATGGAAATTAAGGAAATTCTGTATGGAGCTTGCTTTCTTTATGGAAAAAGCTAGCCATTTGGGCAAAAAATTTCCCTTGCCTCAACTGCTGACATTATACTGTCCAAACTGGATCAGCAGGGCACAAAAGAAAGATACTGATAAACTTTGCCTGGACAAGTTAGGACAGTCCTTCAAAATTCCCTGCTTCTCAGAAAAGTCAGTCAGTTATATTAGGCCTGTAGGTCAAAGATGGATGCCTCAACATTACAGAAGAACTTTAGGTGACTGCCCAGGCAGCCAGATGTCCCTGTCATTAGATAACATTATACCCTTCTGGGGTCTTTTGGAGTTAAAGACTAAATAATTAGACTTAATTTTTTCCTTAGTCATGATAAGAGGTAAATTCAATATTAAACTTCAGATTCACAAAGATAAGGTAGATAATAGAATATTTTCTCTAATTTTGTCAAATACAAATGGATTGGATATAGTAAATAATTCTTCCTTAATAACTGTTTTGTTTGTAATTTGATACAGCAACAGTGTGGTGTTTGGATTGATGCCATATCTAGATCTTAACCTTCTTAGACATGTGGAACCTAAGATTCAGTTCAGTGCTTCAGTGAAGGTGGAAGGTAAGTTCTGTTTAGATGGCCTAAATTAGCTTACATTCCAATTACTCTATTGCTTAAATTTGTTTATGTAAAAATGGTGAAATGTGTATAGAATGAAATGTTAGAAACCCCTGAACACCACTCATGCTTTATTTTGTAAACTTGAGCACTGTTAATGTAATATTTTAAGTCACAACAGCAACTCTTGGGACAATGTGAGTCAAGGTTCCTTAGTTTAGTATGCTTCCTACTCAATCACAACTTCTATCATAAGGTAGTAGTAATTCAGTGAGAGTCATATTTGGGTCATTGTTGGGGTAATGGCGATCAGAACTCTAGGGATTTCCACACAGCTAGAAATATGGACTGTGCCTTCCTTGTATAAATAAGCGTCTAAATCAAATAAAACATAACATTGTAAATTTCCCTCCTGTCCAAAGGGCTGATTCTTGGAAACTCAATGTTGCATGGGAATTTTTTTTTTTTTTTTTTTGCCTCAGAGCACAACCATGATTTAGAGAAAGTGCAGAGGGGGCAGAGGAGCGTGCAGCCTGTGTGTGACCGACAAATAGGCACACAGAACGTTTTAACCTAACTAGGGCTTTCGCTTCCCAGGGTGACTTGTTTGTATTCTGGGCCAAGAGCCCTCTGGGATGTACCAGCTGCTTTCATTTTTGCCTTTCAGATTGAAGTGCATCCCCTGAAGCGGCTGCGGAGCGCTCCCCTCCCTGCCTGCATACACTCAAGAAAGGGACTTTTAATCTCTCCGGACAAAAGGTTTATTAAGGAAAGAAATGGGGTCACAGGATACCTAGGTGAGCCCAAGAAACAGTGCAGGAGGCCAACAAGCCACGGGGAAAGGAAGGAAAAGGACTCAAATTCTCTTTGAGGCTTTGCATGGTTAATAAGACATGTGGATTCCAGCTGTTTCTTAGACGGGACCACAGCTTGCAGTTTCCAGAATGAAGGATGGCTTTCCATCTAAGGAACTTGGAAGATTCTCTTGGCAGGTTGTTATGATATAAGCTAGATATTTCCAGTTATTCTTTATTTTTATTGTTTTCTAAAACCAGTTCCATCCTGCCTAGAAATTCGGAAAGTGCTTCTAAAGTTTGCAATAGGAAATGAGATTTCTTGTCATTCCTTCAGTCTCCTTTTCTCATTTACTTTAACAAATGTGGTCTTTATTACTTTTTGGATGAGGCCTCTGTCTGTGTCTCACTGAGACCTGCTGGTGGTGACGGCTGTCTGTCATTATGCTTCCAAAGCAAACTGAGTACCCATGCAAGCACAGAGGAGATGGAATAAAGGACCATACCAAATGGGAGCAGCAACAGCAGCTTTTTTGAAAGTTTAAGAACAGCAACCATACCTCAAACTTCAAGGGTGACTGATCAAAGTCATCTGACAGGTTCACTTCAGCACGGACTCACCCCTGCTCTTCTGTAATTCACGCATTGCCAGAGCTGTGCGTGACTTCTGCTCCTCCACATCCAATGAGAACTTAAGGAAGATTTGCCGTTTCTCTACTAAACCAGGACTCGTTTTCTGTTGCCTGTAGTCATTTGGTATGATTTATCCTTTAGGTACTATTTTTGGGACCACCTATAACAAAAGTAAAATGTAAATTTCTCTGATGTGTAAATGCTTATTATGCATGGATTGTGTCATTATTTATTGTATATGCTATCTAGACAGTCCTCTTGTATTATTTTAAAATTATTTTTTTTTGGCTAGAATACAAAGTAATGGGTTTGATCACGGCATTTTCAAATGTATATGTCAATGTACAAAGTCCTTGTGGAACTAACTTTCTGCCACTGTTCTCTTTTGTGACCCCCCAACCCCCATCCTGCTCATTCCCTTTCCCCTCTCATGAAAGGACCTTGGAATGCTCATTAAATTATTTAGTCAGGATACTTTTGTTTGTCTCTTTTTTCTTTTGCACTCTTTCATTAAAATTGAAAATAGATTGTTTTCATACAATATGTTCAGATTATGGTTTCCCCTCCCTCAACTCCTCTTCACTACCTCCTCACCCACCCAAATCCACACCCATCTTTTTCTCTTTCATTAGAAATAAACAGGCATTTAATAAAATAAAATAAGGTAAAATAAAAACAAATAAACCAGACTAGGACAAAACAGACAAACAGGAAAAAACAACAACAAAGAAATAACACATGAAACACAGATGCTGAGACACACACACATCCATCCCCCCACTAGAAAGCCCATTAAAACAAAATCAGAAACTATGATATAGATGCAAAGACCCATAAGAAACAAAATGAGACAGACAAACCAAAACAAAACAAGACAAAAAAACAAAACAAAACAAAACAAAACAAAAAAACAAAACATCGTGAGAGAGAGAAAAAACAAACCCTCCCAAAATACCATTTAGTTCATTTTACGTTGGCCATCTCCTTTCTGAGCATGGGGCCTACCCTTAAGATTGGTTTGTATACTCAGTGAGACTCCCTTGGAGAAAACTAAATTTTCATTTGTGAGTGCTTATCAACTGAAGATAGTTTCTGGGTGAGGGATGGGGGCTCGTGTCTACTTCTCCTCTCATCACTGGGGTCCCCTTTATCATAGATCTGCACCGGCCCTGTCTGTGAGTTTACATGTGCTGTATCTAGAAGGCCTTGTTTCCTTGGTGTCTTCCATCTCCATTGTGTTGTGGAATATTTGATCACACTGTGAAACCCGAGTTTGCATTAATTAAATAAAACCTTGGGTCAAAAGGCAGAGCCAGCAACTAGTTGATAGGAAGCAGTCATAGAGAGTTTGATGGAGTCTAGAAAACAGGATAGAGAAACACACAGGAAGTGGTAGGGATGGACTTTGAGTGTGTTGATCTTTTTGGTTTGGAGAGTCCTTTCTGGGTCGCAGGCTAAGGAGGAAGGTCAGCTGGTTGCTCCTCAGCCTCTCTGAGCTAGCAGGTTTTCACCCTAGCATCTGACTCCTGAGTCTTTATTGGCAAATAGAATGATGGAGACTTAGTTAAAAACTACACTTAGCAGCAGTATCAGAGGTGGTTCAGGCAGAATGCACAAGTCCTGCCTGGCCTTGGCCTGAGAAGTGGGGCAGTGACTGCAGAGCCACAGTCAGGGCCTGAAACAGAAGTAGATTCAGGTGCACCTGTTGTACCATGGTAAAACAATACCATTGTCTCTTAAAATCTTTAGACCCCATCTTCCTCAGTTTCCTGAGCCCTGAGGGGAAGGACTTGATGGAGACATCACATTTAGGACTGAGTGCCCCAAGGTCTCTCAATTTCTGCACATTGGCCAACTACAGCTCTCTGTATTTGTTCCCATTTACTGTAGGAGGAAGCTGCTCTGATGATGGCTGAGTGAGACACTGATATGTGAGTATAGATATGAGGTCAGGAGTCCTTTTATTGCTATATTCCTTAGCAAAATAATAGCATTTGATTTTCCCCTAGGTTCGTGGCCTATCTAGTCTCAGGTTCTTGACCATCTAAGCAGTGCTGGGCATGCATTTTATCTCATGGAGTAGGTCTTAATTCCATTCTGATAGTGGTTGATTACTCCTACAACATTTGTACCACTATTGCACCAGCATATCTGGCAGGCAGGTCACCATTGTAGACAGCAGGGGTTGTAGCTAGGTTGGTACTTACCTTTCTCTTTTGGTAGTAAGCAAAGTACCTTCAGTACAATGAACACTAGTCTGTAGGATGAAATAGGCACCAGCTCAACTTCTCCAGGTTCAGTGAGTTATGTAGGTGTTGTCTTTGGTGATAAGACTTTACCATCAGTTTGTGGAGGGTCAGTCACCAATAGTCTTAGAAACAGCCTGTTGTTTGGTTGTTTGGGGGTTTCCATGGGGCCTCTTTGGCCAACAACTTGAGTAGATGTAACCCATTCCTGGAACTAAAGTTTTTAACTGAGAATGAGAGATGTCTAGCTGAGGCTTTGCCTCCCCTGCTTTTTGGTGTTTCCAGTTTAGATTTTTCATGTAAGTATATATTTTAAGAAGCTTCTACTATAGTAGATTTCCATATGACCCTCAAATGGTGCTTGGTTTTTGCTGTTCTTCCAATATGTCCTTCCTTATCCCCTCTTTTCTCCCCTCATTAATTTCCTCCCTCATTTTTCCAATGGCAGCGGTCTGATTGTTCAAGATTATATTGGTCAGTATTCATGTATTTGTGCAGTTTCTGTCTTCAGTGCATTGACTTATAGTTATAGCATGAATCTCTAAAGATCTTATTAATTAAAATGAACCTGGAGCCAGGTATTGGGGTGAATGCCAAAAGATCAGAGAAGCAGAACAAGCCACAGCTAACCTCGCCTTGACAATTCCTTAGCTGATCTCATTTCCTCAAACTGGAAGCCTCTGTGTCCTCATCGAATGGATCTCAGCTGAGCTGCTGCTCAAAAGCCTAAAAGGTTAACCAGGCTCTAGTTCTTGGTCCTCATGCCTTTTATACCTTTCTGCTTCCTGCCACCACTTCCTGGGATTAAAGGTGTGTGTCACCATGCCTGGCTATTTCCAGTGTGGCTTTAAACTCACAGAGATCCAGACAGATCTCTGCCTTTGGAATGCTAGGATTAAAGGTGTGTGTGCCACCATTTTCTGGCCTCTATGTCTATCTAGTGGCTGTTCTGTTCTCTGACCCCAGATAAATTTATTAAGGTACACAATATATTGGGGGACACGATATCACCACATTATAGTTTCTTTGCTCTATCATCTGATAAATGTAGGAAATTATTTCAATTCCCTTTATTTGATTACCTTGATCTGTGACCCAGAAAGTCCTCTATTTTATGAAGGTTTCATGGGCTACTGAGCAGAATGTAAATTATGTTTTTGACAAATGGAATATTTTGCATTTATCTGTTAAATTCATTTGATCCATGCTTCAATTTAACTCTTGATTTTTCTTTGTTTTAGTTTGGATGGCCTAACCAGAAGTGAAACTGGGGCATTAAAATTGTCCACTTTCATTATTATCAGTACCTACCTGACCTTTTGTGTCTATTAGTGTTTTTTAAAAATAAAATCAGGAGCCACAGTGTTTGGTGCATATATATTTACAATTGTTCTGTCTTTTGATGAACAGTTTCCTTTATGAGCAAACAGTGTTCACTATGCTTTTCTTGAAGACAACTTTTATCAGTTATTAGAATAGTTATGCCGGCTTGACCCTGGTTCCCACTCATATGATAGACTGTGTTTTACTGATTGCCTATCAGTTCATGGGTGGAACTTTTGTTCGTTTAGCCACTGAGGTGTTTTTCTTACAGACAAAGATAGTTATGTCTTGTTTTCTAGCCCAGTGAACCTTTCTGTTTGTCTTTATTGGTGAGATAGACTAATTTGCATTATGGTTATTATTGGCAATGTTTACTAATTCCTGTAATTTTATTGGTTGTTTTTCTGCTTGTTGGATTAATATTTGTTATTTACTTTCCCCCATAATAGCAATGGGAGTTGCTCATTTACTGTGCTGAATATAATGGATTCCTTCATATCTCTGCTGTGTTTTTTTTATTCCTCTTATGAAATTTAGTCTTCCTTATGCTCTTGTGATTGAGACTGTCTTTATCTCTAGTTTCTATCTAATTTTCCCTTATCTTCTGCAGTGCTGGCTTGTTGGTTATGCACTGCATAGTCTATGCTTGTCTTGTGTTCTCTTTATTTCTCCTCTATATTAAAAATATAGCTGTGATGTTTAAATCAATATGAGTTAGCAGTTATTTGTTTTGTATGTTGAAACATGTCATTCCATGTTTGCTTGCTAGAGGCTTTTAAAATTGTTGAGGAGAAATTTGATGTTATCTTGATGTTTTTGCCTTTGTGGATGAATTGGGGTATTGACTTTATAATTTTCAATATTTTTTTCTTTGATTTGTGTATTTGACATCTTAGACAGGTTCTTCTTGAGCTGTGCTTATTTAGCATTATAAATGCCTCTTGGGTTTTTTAATGTCTGTTTCTTTGTCTATATTTGAAAAATGTTCTAGTCCGTCATGGTCATAATCTCTGACCCTCTCCTGTTTAGCTGAGATCCTTTTGTTTTATGGAGTTTTAGGTTTAGGATCCTTCTAATATAAAAATTATTGGATATTGGGGGTCATACTATCTTGTTCTCCTTTACTATAGCTTAAATGTAGTAGTTAACCAATTATATCCCCCATCTCTGAATTTTTTCCTCTGCAAGGTTGTGTCACTATGTTTTTCATTTGATTCATTGAGTTTCTTCATTTTCTAGTGTTTTATATGTTTGTTTTCTTTTTAAAATTTTATTCTTTTAAATTTTTATATATGAATGCAATAAATTTTGGTTATATCCTCCCCCTACTCTCCTCTTTCAACTAAAACCAGACCCTTCCAACTTCATATCCTTTCTCTCTCTCTCTTTCTCTTTCTTTCTTTTCTTTCTTTCATTCTTTATTTCTTCCTTCATTTTTATTTGCTTATTTCTTTTTACTATAACCCACTGAGTCAGCTTAGTGCTGTCTGCATGCACATGGGTGAGGGGTTGACTTTTGGAGCATGAACAACCTACCAGAGTCTATGCTCTTAAGGCGCATCTCAATTTCCTTCCTAAATTTCTCTTTCATGTTACTGTTTTAGTTTTATTGATGATTTTCTCATCCTCTTAACTGATTTCTTTTCCTCTTTGTTACCTACTTTCCTTTCTAGATCCTGGAACGAATTCTTCTGGTTGTATATTCTTTCAGGCCATTGACGATTTTAACCAGAAAACTAAAAATTCTCATGTTGCATTTTACTTATTCCAGCATGTTTGAATTCATTAGTTGATGAGTTTCAAAATATTTGAGGCCCTCTATTGTTTTGGTTTTTCATGTTTCTTAATTTTCTGTTTGATTTGTGTATCTGTTGGCTTAGATATCTTTTCAGTTTTTAGAATT